CACCGTGTGACCCTTCCTTGTCTCCTCAGGTTCTGTGTCTACCATTGTTCCCCTTGCCCCAAAGCAGTTCTCATTCTAATACAGTCACGTTGTATGTGACTAGAAAGAGGCTAATTTTTAATGAAATTTCTACATCTGTAACAATGTTGTCTTTCAAAGATGCCATCTCAAATAGGCAGTTAATCCAATGACTACTCAAAATGAATTTGTAATTCCTCTCTGGGGAGTTGCTTTCAGAGGCACTTTGAACCACACAAGGAAATCTCAGCCAGGCGCAGTGCCTCACGACTGTCAGTTCAACACTCTGGGAGGCGGAAGTGGGAGGAGTGCTTGAATCCAGGAGTTTGAGACCAGCCTGGGCAACATAGTAAGACCACATCTCTACAAAAAATAAAAATATGCCTGAAATCCCAGCACTTTGGGAGGCCGAGGCGGGCAGATCACGAGGTCAGGAGTTGGAGACCAGCCTTTCTAACATGTCTCCATCTCTACCAAAACAAAAAACAAAAAATTAGCCGGATGTGGTGGCACCTGTCTACTCCCAGCTGCTCGGGAGGCCAAGACCAGAGACTCACTCGAACTCAGGAGATGGAGGTTGCATTGAGCCAAGCTCACGCCACTCCACTCCAGCCTGGGGAAAAGAGCAAGACTCAGTCTCAAAAAATAAAAACAAAGAAAAAGCAAAATAAGATAAATTAGCTAGGATGGGCTAGGTGGTATGCACCTGTGTTCCTAGCTACTTGGGAGGCTGAGGTGGGATGATCACCGGAGCCCAGGATTTTGAGGCCACCCTGAACTATGATCATACCATTGCACTCAAGCCTGGGCAACAGAGTGAGACACTCTCTTGATAAAGGAAAAAACTCTGTCATGATTTATACTCACACTTCATCTTTGATTAAGAACCGTGTAAACAGCCCAGTCTTTGTCCTCCTCGCCTGGCATGCCTCCAGATGAAAGATGACCATTTCTAAAAGGAAAATGCATTCTCCAGTGGTGAAGATTTGCCAACATTAAAGAGAATCGAAAGAGAACAGTGCAAACTCTGAAAGCTGTTTGCAGATGGAGTTTCAAAGCCATGTGGTATCTGGCTGTCCAAGGTGACCTGTAGGATGACACCTCCTCAGCCGGGCAAGCCTTGCTGTGCTGGTGTGGCACTCGCCGCCTCTGTCCTATGCATGTGACACACCTGGCCGCTGCCTGCTCTTTGACACCTGTTTTCTCCTTTGGCCTCAACAGTGAGGGTCCCAGCAGGCACATCACAGGCATGTAGGAAGTGTGTTTAAGATTCCCAGTTGAGACCAGGCATGGTGGCTCATCCTGTAATCCCATCACTTTGGGAGGTTGAGGCAGGTGAATTACCTGACGTCAGGAGTTTGAGACCAGCAATATGGGGAAACCCTGTTTTTACTAGAAATACAAAAATTAGCCAGGTGTGGTGGTACGTGCCTGTAGTCTCAGCTACTCGGGAGGGTGAGGCAGGAGAATTGCTTCAACATGGGAGCTGAGATCGTGCCACTGCACTCCAGCCTGGGCAACAGAGCGAGACTTCGTCTCAAAAAAAAAAAGAAGATTCCCAGTTGAGAGCTGGGTGCTACTCAGGAGGCTGTGGTGGGAGGATTCCTTGAGACCAGAAGTTTGAGACTAGCCTGGGCAACATAGTGAGACCCCTGTCTCTACAAAAGAAAACTTTAAAAATTAGCCATGCATGGCAGTGTGCCCCTGTAGTCCCAGTTTCTCAGGAGGTTGAGGTGGGAGGATCACTTGAGCCTGGGAGTTCAAGACTACAGTGAGTTATGATCACACCACTGTACCGCAGGCTAGATGACACAGTGAGACCCTGTCTCTAAAAAGAAAATTGAGAAAAAGAAAGATTCTCAGTTGAATTTCCATGGATTTGGTTGCTTCAACTCTGAGAAACATTTTTGGGTAGGTTATTAAATGCTATAAGGCGTGGTAGGCATGGTAAAGGAAAGACCACCCCTACCTTCATAGAGCTGACAGTTCTCCTGGGATACTGGATGAAAAGATGTGAAGCAATTAGAGAGTGGTGATTTGCTAAGCTTGCAGGGTACCACAGAAATTCTGAGGGAAGAAATCCACCTGAACTGGGGTAGTTAGAACATGCTTCCTGGAAGGAGTGGACGTGGAAGGACACTGGAGGATTTGAGTGAAGGCAGAAAAGAGCATGGTTTCGGGGTGATAGGGAGAAGGCCCAGCGAGTTGGAGTGCAAGTGAGTCATTGGGATATGCCAGGAATGCTTCATATGTGATCTTTTAAAGGAGGGTTGAGGAACTTAGGTTATGCAATTGGACATGTGAGATGGGCTAGGTAAGCATTAAGAGTTTTTGTAGGTTTTTAAACAAGGAAGTGGGTAATATGGTAAAAGTAGTATTTTAATTAAGATTGGCTGCAGTGTGCAAGTTGAATGTACGGATAAGAGGCTACTGCAGGCATCTAATTGTGGGCCAGAGAGGGCCTGAACCAGAATGGTGACTGCAGGCCAAAAAAGGAAGATGCCTTTGAGAAGTACCTCAAAGGACGAATCATGAAGCCCTCTAACACCCTGAAGGTGTGTGATAGGGAGAGGAGAGGAGCCAGTGCTGACGACGAGGTTCCTGCCTCACCTCCAAGGGTGGTGGTGTTGCTGGGGAAAATGAGCTGTGGGGAAAGGAAGCTAGTTTAGGGGAATGAAGATGAGCCCAGCACAAACATTCTGACCCGGAAGTAAATGGACCACATGTGTGAAGACGCTCTAGGAGCTTCCGGAAATGTGAGCTCAGGAGGCCTATGTGAGAGGACCTTGGAGTGGTCCTCTCAGACACTCCTGGTAATGCCTTGGAAGGTGTGGACGCAAGGCCATGGATGTGTTTGGGCAGACAGGCCTCCGAAAGAAGGTTGATGTTAGCCCTGTCCTGCTGGGCAACCACGTGAAGCTTTAAAATGTCTTTCTGGTAGGAGGAAGGTTTTCTGTCCAGAACAGCACTGGGAGAAGTCAGCCAGCACATGAGCTGTGTCTCAGAAGTATGTCAGTAATCCTCTGTTTTTTTACCTATGAATTTTTGGATCTAATTCCATTACCCCTTTGTCCTTGACCCTCCAAGGACAGCAGTTCAAGACAAAAGTCTTCAAGATCACGAACTCCCTCCCCACGCTTAGGAAAGAGGCCTAGGCTGGGTGCTGTGGCTCACACTGTAATTTTCATGCTTCGAGAGGCTGAGGCAGGAGGATTGCTTGAGCTTAGGAGCCTGAGACCAGTCTGGGCAACATAGGAAGACGCTGTGTCTACAGAAAATGTTTTAAAATTCCATCAGTGTGGTGGTGTGCACCTGTTTTCCCAGCTACTCAGGAGGCTGAGTGGGAGGATGGCTTGAGCCTGGAAGGTTAACACTGCAATAAGCCATGATTGTGCCACTGCACTCCAGTCTAGGCAACAGAGTGAGACCCTATCTTTTTTTTTTTTTTTTTTTGAGTTGGAGTCTTGCTCTGTCACCCAGGCTGAAGTGCAGTGGCATAATCTCGGCTCACTGCAACCTCCACCCAGGTCTCCTGCCTCAGCCTCCCAAGTAGCTGGGACTTGAGGCACATGCCACCATACATGGCTAATTTTTTATAGTTTTGTTAGAGATGGAGTTTCACTGTGTTAGCCAGGATGATCTCAATCTTCTTACCTCGTGATCCTGTCTTGGCCTCCCAACGTGCTGGGATTACAGGTGTCAGCCACTGTGCCCAGCCCAAGGCCTTATCTTTAAAAAAGAAGAGGAGAAGGCCTGGTCTTGCCGTAGCAGTACCACATGTCCAGCTCATAGTACTTCCTTTTCATCCTCTGGCTTGAACCATCCTGTAAAAGGTTGGTGAGGCTGCCATTCAGAGTGGAGAAGACTGCCGTGCCTTTAGGGAAAGAAGGCGGATGGAGCAGAAACAAACAGCTCTTCTCTGCTCAAGCTGGCCTCAGTTCCACCAGGCAGCTCCATGAGACCTCAGCGAGACAGGGACAGTGGGAGGGGGCAAGACAGGAGCAGCAGCCTGTGTACAGTAAAAGGAGTTTGCCATCAAAAGGCAACAAGTCTTATACCCTGCCCCGGACGGTGACCCTTCCCTGTGGAATTCTCCCCTCTGACCTCCAGATCATTAATCCCGAGGCTGCCAAATGACAGTCATCCATCACGCCTCCTGACGAGCATCCCAGCCGGCTGTGAAAGGACTGGCCCCGCCCTCACCACATCCCCTGGTGCTCATTAGTAGCCCTTCCTGCTCGGTGCCAGGTTTCCTAATCAAGTCCCTGGCTCCTCTCACTTCCCCTCGGGGCCATTGGGCGGAAGCTGCTCTGACCCTCCCCCTTTCAGAGGCCAGAGAGTGGGTGGAGTGATTGGTGTGGGGAGAGAATTGTTGAGTGGCTTTCATTCCCATGGAGACCTGTGTGTCCAGCAGCTTCTTTGACATGGCGGGGCACATGAGAAAGAAACTGTTTCTCCATTGAGCAGGAGAGGAAAAAGCAGGCGTGTGCAAAGGAGCACACTCTTCCAAGCAGCACTGAGAGCTGCCAGGCGGGGGACTAAGCAGGGCTCCCCTTCTAGGAAGTCAGAGAAAGGCTTCCCAGGGGACATTGCCACTGAATGGAGTCTGAAAGCTGCAGAGATAAGTCGCCAGATCACTAGAAAGAGTCTGGAATTGTACTGCTAGCAAAACAAAAACAAAAACCACACACACAAAACTAAAAAACAAGCGCCTTTGAAATCATCCAGTCTGGCCCTCCTATTTACAGATGGCAAAACAGAACCAGAGAGGCTGCTTTTTCAAAGGCCACACAGCCTGTGCACTGGACCTGTCCTCACTGCTCGTCCGAGTGTTCAGGCTCGCAGAGCTTGAGTTAAATTACACTTCCAAACAGATTCATGAGCATTGTTTCCAGCTCAGCTAAAGGTGGGCACACATGGAATCTTTTTTTCTCAGTCTGATGGTAATCCAGCTGTCTCTTTCTCTCGTTGGACAACCACAGGGACCCCCATCAACCGAATCCCCATCATGGCCAAGCAGATCCTGGACCTGTACATGCTGTATAAGCTGGTGACCGAGAAGGGGGGCCTGGTGGAGATCATCAACAAGAAGATCTGGAGGGAGATCACCAAAGGCCTGAACCTGCCCACATCCATCACCAGCGCCGCCTTCACCCTCAGGACCCAGTGAGTGGCCGGGCCTTGGGGAAGGAAGCTGAGGCTGGAGAAAGGGGATGTTGTAACCTAGAGGAGAGGAAGGAAGGAAATTCCTTTATATAGTTAGCAAGGATTCCCAAAACAGTGGGGAGCTTTCTGAGATGAATCCTTCACTAAACCAAGTAGAGATGAGAACTGCCATTTACCAAGCGTCCACTCACAGTCAACCCTGTAAAGTAAGTATGCCCCCTTTTTCCACATTACAGAAATGAAGTCTCCAGGGTTAAATAATTTGGCCAAGGCCATACCAGCCAGTAAGTGGTAGAGCTGAGATTCGGACCCGGGCTTCTGTCTCTGAGACCCATGTCCCTTCCAGGTCATTGTCTTCCAAACAGCATCTCTACCCCAGGTGACTCCTCTTACCTAACATTCAGCTGGTCCAGCAGCAGAGGACCCAGAGAAAGGCAGGCAGGAAGGCCCCTTTGGATTGGTGACCTGGTTTTGTCAGCATTTGAGTTACTGACACTGGTGATGGAAGCAGTGAAACCAAGAGCAGCACTGAAGGATGAGGGCCCAAGAGGTGTCTGTTCTTCTGGAACACTCTGGAAGTTGTTCTGTGAAGAGTATGCAATGAACAGCTGACCCGTCGGTTCGGTGACATGTTGTAGCTACAACCAGAATGACAAGGTTCCTGGGGAGAGAACTGCTTCTTGGGACCTAAGACACAAAGAATGACAGCACAGGTCCCCTGCACAGAGGGAAGAATTGCTCCTGTCTGACCAGCTCCACTCTGAATGGTTAGAAGATCAAGGAGCCAGAAAGCCCTTGTAAAACCTGGCCCGAATTTTTCCCAGTGCACTAAAAAAGCACCAAAATAAATTTGAACACATCAACTGAGATGTTATTTATTTCCCCTAGTGAATGGTGCTTCAGAGTGGAGCCTGTTTAGGGTTGGGTAGCAGTTAGAGGACGCTGGGCAGAGCATCCAGCCATCCCAGACTTTTCTGCCAGGTACACCAAGGTTGCCATCCTTGCCCTAGAGCCCTGCCCAACAGAGACTGCTTCCAGAGACCCACCAACCTCAACTGGGTGGTCTCTGGTGCTGTTCTGGATTATTCTCCCTGCTTGCTTCCTTTCCTCCAGGTACATGAAGTATCTCTATGCCTATGAGTGTGAGAAGAAAGCCTTGAGTTCCCCGGCCGAGCTCCAGGCCGCCATCGACGGCAACCGCAGGGAGGGCCGGCGGCCCAGCTACAGCTCCTCCCTCTTCGGCTACTCACCTGCTGCTGCCGCTGCTGGGGCCCCTGCCCTCCTCTCCCCACCCAAGATCCGCTTTCCCATCCTTGGGCTTGGCTCCAGCAGTGGCACCAATACCAGTGGCCCGCGGATATCCCCAGCAACCACTCTCAGGAAAGGTCAGCAGGGCTCCCAGGGGAGAAAGAAGAAAGGGAGGAAGGGACGCCAGTTGCCCTGTGTTCAGGAGTGGGGTTTCTGGGCAAGAGGGTCCGTTGTGGATTGCTCCAGCTCTAGTTCCTTCGCAGGTGATGGAGCCCCAGTGACAACAGTGCCTGTGCCAAATCGCCTGGCTGTGCCCGTGACCCTGGCAAGCCAGCAGGCTGGTACTCGGACTGCCACGCTGGAGCAGCTGCGGGAGCGGCTGGAGTCAGGGGAGCCTGCTGAGAAGAAGGCGTCAAGGCTGTCCGAGGAGGAGCAGCGCCTGGTGCAGCAGGCCTTCCAGCGCAACTTTTTCAGCATGGCACGGCAGCTCCCCATGAAAATCAGGATCAATGGCAGGGGTGAGCCGGGCTCAGGACAGGTCCTTCCCTTCCTATTGAGTGCCAAACCACAGCCCATTCATGCCTCCTGGGACTGGTGGGGCAGGGGTGGTGACCTGGAAGAGGCCCCTCCGGATTCTGCCTTGCAGGCCCCCAGAAGAGAGGCACTGAGCTCTCAGTTCCCCAGGCTGAGGTGGTTTTCTAGGGGACCACATGTTGCCTCAGGCAGTACCCTATTCTCTAGTAAGAGGGGAGAGCAGTTATTCATGGAGGAGGAGCCAGAGGCCTTCAGAGAGCTGCTGCGTTTCCCCACAGCCTTTACCCCAGCACCCCACTGGATGGAGGCAAGAGTGGGGCACCATCAGCAGGTCTGAGAGGAAGACACCCCTTGTTCCTGAGGCTCAGTGAGGGGCCAGGGTGTCCAGGGCTGGACAGCGGGACTGCCAGTGACCCTCAGAAATATGGGGGGAAGGAGGAAATACAAGTTTGGCAGCATAGTTAACATCCCTTCCCTTCCCCGTCACATTGCTCTAGTGCCCCACATTCTCTTCCCCAAACCACATGCCCCTTTTCCCATTCACACACATTCTTTCCCATTCTGGTCCTGATGCTATCTCAAAGCAAACATGAATGAGATGCGTGGGAAGGAGCCAAGTGTGAAGGGAGCTGTACATATTCCCAGGCCGCCCCTCCCTACCCCATACCCCTGGGGAGCAGAAGAAAACTGGAAGGTAATAAGCTCATCCAGGGCCAGGTGCCCTGCTCCTGCACAAAGCAAAGGGCTGTTAGAACAGATGGCTCGCCAGGAAGAATTCTGAGTCTGGGATGACCCAGGCAGAGGCCCTGTGTGCCTGCACCTGGAGCCTTCCACAAACACCAGCTGCCCAGGTGGTCATGGAGGGGCAGGTGCTGAGGGCGTAGACTCCTCTTGAGGGACTCAGAGTCAAAGGAAAGAAGGGGCAAGGCAGGTCCTCAGGAGTTGGGGCTGGGTCTTACTGATCTCTGATTTCCTGGGCCTGGTGGGGTGGAGCTTGGGGTTTGCCCATCACATGGAGAGTGCCAGTGCAGAGCTGAGGGACGGGGTGGCCTCGTTGCCTGCTGGGACTCCTTTTCTCTGGGAGCAGAGGGAGCTGGGGAGATGAACCGGGTCGCTGGGAAAAGCCAGCAACAAGAGGTTGGTGAGCCAGGGATCTCCTGCCGTACCCTACACTCAGGAGAAGGTTACGTAGCTGCTTTCTAACAGCGTGAGTCTTTGACCAGGGGTGGCCAGGCAGCATCAGAGAGGACAGCAGGAGTGCTGTGCAAGGCTTGACCCGGCCCAATGTCCCTCTGTCCCCAGCAGAAGACAGAGCAGAGGCCTCGGCTGCAGCACTGAACCTGACCACAAGCAGCATCGGGAGCATTAACATGTCTGTGGACATCGATGGCACCACCTATGCAGGTGAGGCCCTGGAGCTCTGTGGGAGGCTCATGTGGCCGCAGCCAGCCACAGGGCAGCTCCGTGGCTGCCCATGCCTCTCACCTTCTGTCCGAACACTTCCCGGGGTGGCTTCCTTTTTCTGGTCTCAAAGTTGCAAAGGTCAAGTGGTCCTCTGGACTAGTAGAGACGATTGTTAACAGGATGATAGGTCCCTCTCACTTTGGCAGAAATCCTTCACCTAATTCCCCCCGTTTTTTTTTGTTTTGTTTTGTTTTTTTGAGACAGAGTTTTGCTCCTGTCGCCCAGGCTGGAGTGCAATGGTGCGATCTCCACTCACCACAATCTCCGCCTCCTGCGTTCAAGTGATTCTCCTGCCTCATCCTCCCTAGTAACTGGGACTACAGGCATGCGCCACCATGCCTGGCTAACTTTTGTATTTTTAGTAGAGATGGGGTTTCCCCATATTGGTCAAGCTGGTCTCGAACTCCCAACGTCAGGTGATCTGCCTGCCTCAGCCTCCCAAGTACTGGGCTGTGCCTGGCCACCTAACCCTTTTAGACAGGTGATTGGCTCGGTGATTGAAGAAGTCAGTATCCCACCATCTCCAGGTCTTCTCATACACAGGTCACCTTTTTCTGACTGTAGTTCAGCTGTTCTCTTCCTTTTGCAGAATGCATTTTTATTACCTTCTCTGTCATTCCCTTTCTTTAAAGTAAGACAGAGGACTGAGACACAGCCAAAGGAACCCCGGTGCAGCAGAATCAGCTTAACACTGTTAAGCTCTCCACCCCCCAGTCTTTTATAGTTATCTCTTTCAAAACCTAATTTGGCAACAGTGTTTTCTTTGCAGGTTGATTTAGCACCTTTACAGTCTTTCCAAGGGTTTAACTCAGTGTTCACAACTGGGCACGGTGACTCATACCTGTAATCCTAGCATTTTGGGAGGCTAAGGCAAGAGGATCATTTGAGACCAGCCTGAGCAATATAGCAAAATCCCAAATCAAAAAAAAAAAAAAACAAAACAAAACATTAGGCATGGTGGTGCACACCTGTGGCCCCTAGCTACTTGGGAGGCTGAGGCAGGAGGATCATTTGAGCCCAGGAGGTCAAGGCTGTAGCAAGCCATGGTTGTACCACTGCACTCCTGCACTCCAGCCTGGACAACAAAGCAAGACCTTGTCTCCAAAAAAAAAAAAAAAAAAATGGGCCAGGCTCAGTGGCTCACGCCTATAATCCCAATACTTTGGGAGGTCAAGGCAGGAGGATCACCTGAGGTTGGGAGTTCAAAGCCAGCATGACCAACATGGAGAAACTGTGTCTCTACTAAAAAATACAAAATTAGCCAGGCATGGTGGCGCATGCCTGTTATCCCAGCTACTTAGGAGGCTGAGGCGGGAGAATCGCTTGAACCTGTGAGGCTGAGGTTGCGGTGAGCCGAGATTGAGCCATTGCACTCCAGCCTGAGCCGAGATCGAGCCATTGCACTCCAGCCTGGGCAATAAGAGTGAAACTCTGTCTCAAAAAGAAAAAAAAGAACAACTTAGTATTCATAAAACAGCTGCCTTTTTCCCATTCCCATTTCATTTGTTTGTGGACTAGCTTGGGAACAAGCCTAGCTGACTCCTGCTAACCTGGCCCTGGGCTTCCTCTTTGTGTACCCTGAGTATTCCTGCTGGCCTGCCCCTTCGCTCTTCCTCTGCCCACACTTGCTTCTCTTCCCCACACCGAGGTGTGCTGTTTGCCCAGAAGCCCGTGGTCCACCTCCTCGCGGGGTCTGCCCCCCAGAGCCTCGGCAGCAGCGCCAGCAGCAGCAGCAGCAGCTCTCACTGCTCACCAAGTCCTACCTCATCCCGGGGCACCCCCAGCGCAGAGCCCTCCACCAGCTGGTCCCTCTGATGGGCAGGACCCAGCTTCCCACTTGCCACTCTCCTGCCCGAGAGTAAAGGAAGTTGATGCACAGAATTTACCTCATCTCACGGAGCCCACGTCGACGAGCACCATTTGGCCAGACATGGAGAGTTTGGACGCGTCCGTCTATCCAGGCTCCTTTCAGGTCCTGCTGTACTCTGGGGGCAGGGAGAGGCTAGAGGGGCAGGACAGGGCAGCGTTGTCCAATCAGGGATTGTCCTGGAGAACTGGGTGGGGGTCTGTGGGTGTCCAGCTTCCTCCAGGGTTCCCCAGCCACCTCCCAGCCCGGGGCACAGTGTATCGACAATCTGTCAGCCGACACAGGGCTGGAGGCCCTCCATTTCCCTTCCCCTTTAATTTATTTCCCTGCCCCTCCTTCTGCCATGACTCCAGGGCCCCTCATCTCTTCCCCTGTTTTTAAGTCCCATGTGGGGCTGCTAGGAGCCGAGAGCATGCCTTCATGCCCTTCTCTGCCGAGCATGGGATGGGGCCCTCCCAGCCCACCTTGCGTACCGTTAGGTTCCTGGGGTGTGGGTCCTTCAAACTCAAGTCTTGAATCAGTCCTCAGGGCCCCAGATCTCCCATCTAATGGTCCCAAGGAAGAGACCATAAGGGCAGTTCGGGGCCAGGGCCCACGGGGCACCTGCTGACGGGAAGGCAGAGCCTCAGTGCTGCCCAGCCCTGGCACCTGCTTCACATGGACCCTTCTCTGACCCCCAAAACCTCATGCTCCCCACTTGCCCTTGTTGGCCCACTCTCCCAAGAATAGCTTCCTTGTCCCCTCCCCAGCCCCCTTCCATTTCTCATGGGGCCATCTTGGCCTCACCATCCCCACACGTGCCGATGTCAGGTTCATTGAAATACCTCAGATTTGTAATTGTTGACATTTGAGTCTTCAGGAAGTATTTGCATCTCTGAAATCTTTTTTATATGTGTTTTGCTGACTCTTGTTTTTTTTTATTTTAAAATTTTTATTGTTGTAGCACCAAAGAAATGAAAACAGATCACCCCAAAGCCAAGCAAATGACTGGGTACTCCGGCCCCTCCGGCTCTTCTCTCAAGCCCAGTGAGGAGGCCAGAGGGAGGCAGGCAGGGGAGCCGACTCAGGGATCGCGGGGCGGGGAGGTGGAGGCGAGAGGCCTGCTCTCACGCCAGTTGGGCCCTGGAACCGCACCAGTTCTGAAGACAGTCCATTTTCTGCCACCCCACCCCCCACCCCCTGCTGACCAGGGAGGCAGCAGAACACCTCCCCATCACTCAGCATTCCCAGTTCAGGGCGCCAGCAGGCTGGGGTCCTCGCTGGCCTTGCTGGAGGTTGAGCCGCCCCAGCTATGAGATGCCAAGAACTCCACTGCTCCTCCTGGACCCTGGGTTGGAGCAGGTGGCTCCTGTGCTGTCAAGAAAAGATGGTTCTTGTGTGCGGCTCACCCCAGTCGAAGAAGCCCTGGGGTGTTGAGCGGAACACCACTGTGACATGGGGCGGTGGCGGTGGGAGACACTGTGCGTGGCATGGGTGTGCGGCAGCACAGCTAGCATTCAGTCCTGTGGAGGAGAGGAAAGGGAACTGAAAGCTTGAGCACAAACAGAAAACCTCGGCCTGAGAAGCTGCAGCTCTGCTCACCCCTCTCTCTCCCCCAGCCCTCCACACACACTCCAGCTCCCACACTCACACTCACACACACCCCATCTCCCAGGGGCTCACCTCATCTGGCCTCAGCCTGCAGGGTGTGGGCAAAGAAGGGCATCTGGGATCTGGTGCCATTAAGGAGCCCAGTTGGCTGGCATTGGGGCCCACTTGAAGGTGTCTCAGACATATGGCCAGTGTGTCTTTCTCAGGGGTTTGGTCACGAAGGATGGACTCTTCCCACCCGGAGGATGCAGGGACAGTACGCTGCGTTTTTCTGGTCATTGGATCCTCTCCCTTTCCCCGGCAGCTCGCCTGGCTGCACCCTCAGAGCGAACCCTCACTGCCCTCAAAGACAGCATCAGGGTCTCAGCCAGAGCCCGATGGGGGGGTGCCAGCAGGCGCCCCCAGGAGTGGGGCCTTGGCCCAAGCAGAGCTTTCCCTGAAGGTGCCGTCAGCCTGGGCAGCTGTGTGCCCTCCCCGCTCCCCATCTTATGTGTATTTTAACCAGGAAAAGTGTGATAGCACATGGGTAGCCTAGGCAGTGAATAAATACCTCAGATGTCCTCCTGCAACAAGTGTCTGTATATGTTGTGGTTATTTTTATCTTACATGTTCTTGAATGTTTATATTTCAATAAACCTCTACCTCTTCGCACAAGCAGGTCTCTCTCAGTTGCTTTGGGTGGCCCTTCCACCGGACAGTACTGGGGAGAGCTGAGCTGCCGAGTGAAAGGGGACTGAGTGAACTACTCCTCACCCCCCGATCTCTCCTGAACCTTCTCCCCTACCCCACCCCCTCTTCAGAGGAGTCAGAGTTTGCACCTGGAGAGGAGCATTCCCTGCAGAGGAATACATACATACATACAAAGACACAGGGAAATACAGTGGCATCAAAGGACCTGGCACTCGGGAACTGTGGCTGGTGCCTTGGGTCAGCGGGTGAAGGGGAGGGGAACTGGGAAAAAGTGAAGCTGGGGCCAGCATGGGTCCCACACTAATGGATTCCGGCGCCATCCTCTGAGAATTAGGATGTATTTTCACCAGGGCATGGGCTTAGAAGCTTTTCTAGAAGGGTGATGTGAAGCCAGGTGACATGCTGGTCCTGGAACCCTGGGGCACTGCCAGTGGAGCTCAGGCGTAGACCCTAGAGCAGGCGTCCCCAAACCGCGGCCCCCTGAGGCCATTTATCCGGCCCCCCGCCGCACTTCAGGAAGGAGCACCTCTTTCAGTGGTGGTCAGTGAGGGGAGCATAGTATGTGGCGGCCCTCCAACGGTCTGAGGGACAGTGAACTGGCCCCCTGTGTAAAAAGTTTGGGGACGCCTGCCCTAGAGCCTTTTCTCTCTGATGAGGCATACTCCCCGGCATACCCTGAAGACACGCAGAGAGGCAGGCCCTGTGGGGACTGGTAATTGCCTGTGCCATCCGTGACAACATACTGTACCTGTCTTTGTAACCATGTGAGGTCAGGCTAGCAGGAGTCCCTATCTGGTAGGTATTTTTTGCTTCTTTGTATATGTGTATACATACGCACACACACATACGGGTTTTTTTTGTTGTTTTTTTAGACAGGGTCTCACTGTGTCACACAGGCTGGAGTGCAGTGGTACAGTCGGCTCACTACAGCCTCAAACTGGACTCAGGTGATCCACCCCCTTCAGCCTCCCAGATAGCTAGGATTACCGGTTCATGCCACCATGGCTGGCTAGTATTTGTTTGTTTGTTTGTTTCTTAAGTTCATGCCACCATGCCTGGCTAGGTTTTTTTTTTTTTTTTTTTAAGTTTTTGTAGAGACGAGGTCTTGCCATGTTGCCCAAGCTGGTCTTGAACTCCTGGGCTGAAATGATCCTCTGCTTCAGCCTCCCACAATGTTGGGATTACAGGCATAAGCCACCGCATCCAGCCTCTGGCATTTTGAAATGCTAGAAAAAGAGGGTGACATTGGGAGAGTCTTGAGAGTCCATTGCTGATTTTCTTTAATCTTGTGGGGAAAAAATGAGTGATACTTTAGCACTTTACTGGTAACCACTCATTGGTATCACACCTCACAACGTCCTGGCCACATGGAAATGTCAAAGACCCCCATCTAGGAGGGAGCTGAGTGATGAAGGGCAGAAGCAGGCCCAGAGACACGTGAGATGGAAACAGCATATGGTGGCTGGTGGCGGGTGCAGGGATCCCGGGAGAGTTCTGGAAGAAGTGGCATCTGATAGAAATGGTGATGAATCCAGGGATAGCCAGGCACCAGGCCACTGCAATTCCATTCCATTTCAAATTAATAAAACATTGAAGAACATCTTAACCTTAAGAATTTCTCAGCTGGGTGCGGTGGCTCACACCTGTAATCCCAGCACTTTAGGAGTCCGAGGTGGGCAAATCACAAGGTCGGGTGATTGAGACCAGCCTGGCCAACGTGGTGAAACTCTGTCTCCACTAAAAAATACAAAAATTAGCTGGGCATGGTGGTGCGTGCCTGTAGTCCCAGCTACTCAGGAGGCTGAGGCAGGAGAATTGCTTGAACCTGAGAGGCCGAGGTTGCAGTGAGCCGAGATTGCACCACTGCACTCCAGCCTGGTGCCTGGCGACAGAGCGAGACTCCAGCTCAAAAAGAAAAAAAAAAAAAATTCTCAAGCTAGACCCTTCAAAAAAGCTTAAGTGGCCGGGCACAGTGGCTCATGCCTGTAATCTCAGCACTTTAGGAGGCCGACGTGGGAGGATCACTTGATGGGTCTGGGACCAGCCCTGGCAACATAGCAGAGACCCTCCTCTCTACAAAACAAAATTTAAAGTCAGCCAGGCATGCTGGTGTGCACTCAGCCGATAATGATTTCTTTCTGTTGCTTATGAATCCTTAAGACAAAAGCAAATAGCAAGAGTTAGGGAGAAGGGGCTGTCACAAATAGATGTTTCACCTAAGAGAAAACACAGATGGCTTGACCTCCCTGTGATCAGGGAAATGCTCAGAATCCACCTCGCACTACGGGACTGACACAAACTTAAAAGTCACAGAGTATCAGGTCCTGGAAAGGATGAGGAGCAGCAGGAACTCTGACGCACTCTTGGGCTAAGCAGTGTGGAAACCAGTTTGGCACTACCTACTAAAGCTGATCATGCGCTTGTCCCTAGGGCCCTGTAATTTCACTCCTACGTTTGTCCCCCAGGAGATGGAAAGGAAAGTTCACACAGCACGGATGGCTTCATAGTAAGTTGGCTGTGAAACTACCAGTTGAACCTGGTGTGGTGAGGTCCCACAGCTCGCGAGTAGAGGAGCCGGGGCTGTAGTTTAGTGTCTGCAGAGCCCAGAGCTTGCGCCCTGAACACAAATGCTAAGCACTCTATACATGCCACCCACAGCTCTATGAGGCAATTTTTTTTCTTTAACATTATTTATTATAAAATTATAGAGCCGGGCGCGGTGGCTCACACCTGTAATCACAGCACTTTGGGAGACTGAGGCAGGCAGATCAACTGAGGTAGGGAGTTCAAGACCAACCAGGCCAACATGGCGAAACCCTGTCTACTAAAAACACAAAAATTAGCTAGCGGGACGTGGTGGCTCACGCTAGTAATCCCAGCCACTAGTGAGCCGAGTTCATGCCATGGCACTCCAGCTTGGGTGATAGAGCAAGACTTTGTCTTAAAAACAAACAAACAAAAAAAAAAAAACAAAACAAAAATTATAGGGACAAGGTCTCACCATGTTGCCCCGGCTGGTCTCCAACTCCTGGGCTCAAGAGATCCTCTCGTCTCAGCCTCTCAAAATTCTGGGATGAACGGGCGTGAAACACCGCGCCCATCCAAGGCAGGGCTGGGATGGGACTCCAAAGCGGGTGCCCTTAACTTCCCCCCAAAGTCCCCCGCTTCAGGGAGGGGAAGGGACCAGAGGAAGGCAGAGGATCTAAGGGCGGTTGTCCTCAGGTCTCTGCGACACCAGGCTGCGCTCAGCCGGGCATCCCCGAGCGGCCTCCGGAAGCTCCTGGAAAAGCTTGCCCGGCGGCAAGCCACAGGGCCCCACGCCATTGGCCAGCATGGAGTCACGTGTCGTCCCCAGAGCCAATGGGAGCGAGGGGGCAGGTGACCGGGAATGACCTTGGACTGCCCGCGCGGCGCAGAGGGAGACCCGCCGTAGGCAGCGCCTCTGCAGCGGCGCGTGGCCGCCTCTGGGTGTCTGGGAAAGGGCATGGAGGAGCTTATGGAAGAGAAGGTTTGGAATCACCGGTGGAGGGACGAGGAGACGGAAGCCAGCCGGAGTGGCGGGAACAGGAAGGGACTAGGGATAGAAGCCGGGCTTGGAGACAGTGAGGCGCACGAATCCCGGCACCCCGGGGACAGACGAGGGGCGCCGATCTCCTCACTGGGCGGGGTGGGCAGGGAAACGAGCAGGAACTGGAGCTGCGGCGAGGGCTGCGGGAGGCAAGTGGATACCCGGCCTCAGGGAGGGGCTTCCGGGAGAGCAGGGGTCTCCTTTGGAGCAGCACCGGGGTGGTTTGCTCAGCAAGGGCTCTTTGTACGAAGTAACCGAAGCCAGTCAGGCCAATGGCGGCAGAGAGGAAAGAGGTTTATTCTTGGATCCAGGGTGTGCGGACGAGCCCAAGGGCAGCTGGACCCTGTGCCGGCGTCAGGAAGGGCCCGGAACCCGGAGAGCTCTGCCCGCGGAGGGTATTCCTCTCGCTCTGAGGACCCCCTCAAAGCTCAAGTTTATCGGCTCCACACATGAGGCCGCCCTGGGCTGAACTAAGGTCTCGCCGTCCCAACTCCAGTTTCTGGGAATTGTCAGCTCCATTCGCTCTCATCGAAGTCCAGCTTATGCCACGAGGTGAAAAACAGGACAGCTGACAGTTCCCAAGTTTTCTGCGTCCGGTCTTCAGCCCTGGAGGGGACTCTTCTGCTGCAATCCTGCGATCCCAGGAGGGGGTCCACTGGTCCAGTACGGCTCGGTACCCAGCCCTGGATTCCACCTGAGGCTGGAAGGAGTGGTCATGAAGAACTCGGCATGAACACAGATGGGCACGAATTCCCAGAGGTGTCCTGTCCCTCCACGGTACCAAAGAGCCCTCCTCTGAGAAACTGCTTCAGTGAAGGCGCAGATGGAGGGAGGCGTCGGCAACAGAACTGAGAGGGGTTCCGGGGGCACATGGCTCAGCCAGAGGAAGCTGGCTGGGGAGGAGCGTTTCATGGCCAGATGACCTCGAGGGTGATACCAAGTCTCCGCCCACCTTGCCTGTAGCTCCTGAGCATGGTCACGCTGGCAAGCCCAGAACAGCTGAGAAACCACGTTTCTGGGACAGATGAGGGGCCCAGGGGGCTTAGCTGCTGGTTTGCTGTGTGACCTATGACAAATTCTCTGGGCAGTTTGTCTGTGAAATGGGGACTGTAGTGTGATCGAAGGTACGAGTGAATGAGAACTCACTTTGAAATGTCTAAACCCAGTGCCTAAGGCCTTCCCTGGCAAGACAAAGGGTCCATGGTGGCACTGTGCAATGGCATTAGGGCAGTAATTGGGCCAACCAGGCTTACGGGCCTGCAGCACCTCCTCTGGAGCTGGGCACTGGATGCCCAGCTCTACTCCTAGCCCAGAGTCCCCTGGGAAAGTGCCGGGCCGTCTCATGCACCAAGAGCCGTATTGGCAACATTGTGCCAACATGGGCATTTCCGACCTG